TTTGCTCTTATGTGTTTTATTTCAGGTTTGCCTTGGTTGTATAGAAACAACCAAACAATAAGGAATATATTAAACAATCTTAAAGAAGGTTGTTGATTGAATTGATTCACTTGATTGTAAGAAAAAAAGAATGAAATTAAAATGGGTTATGTGATGCCCATTTGAATAAATTTTTTGATTTAAGAATGTAAAACTGTGTCTATTTAAATAGGGGGAAAATATCTGAATTAAAATAGATAATGTAGGAAAAAATTTAAATTTCTTTTATTAGGTCGGGCCCGGGCTCGGGCTCGGGCTTTGGGCTTTTTGTCAGGGTCGGGCTCGGGCCCAAGTTCTAGGCCCGTTGGTCGGGCCGGGCTCGGGCTCGGGCCTATCATTTTTTCGTTAATGAAGACTAAAAGCCCGGCCCATGAACAGGTCTAGTTCTGACCTACGGTTTCACTGGGAGCAAAGACTGAACACTGCTGTTGCAGTATTGGAACAGGTTTGTATGACCTACAGTCTTGTAGGAATCCAAAAAACAACACTGCAGTTGCAGTACATAACCAGGTCTGTATGACCTACGATTGTACAGAGGTCATATGACCCACCAACAGAATGGAAAATACAGGGTGAAGTTCACCACACCCCTAATCGGCAGACCTGGTAGCCGAACAATCGATGACTGAGATCAATACAACATCTGCTTCAGGGCATCAACAGTCCATCAAAGGGGTAAAGAAATACAAAAAAGATTCAATTGAATACATCTGCTTTGTTAAAGAAATACAGTCCATCAATCGGCTGAACAGTCAATCAGTAGGGCAGCCGAACAGTAGATGAACAGTACCTCTTTTAACTTCAGATGATAGCCTCTCTACAGTCGAACAGACAATGAATACAACTTCTGGGCTGGAAGATGAAAAGTCTCTATAACTTCTGGGTCGAACTGAATACAACAGATTAGCAGTTCAATGGATACAACTCTGGGAGATGAAAAAGTCTCTATAACTTTTGGGTCGAACTGAATACAACTGATTAGCAATTCGATGGATACAGCTCTGGGAGATGAAGAGACTATCTGCTCGACATTGAACAACAGGTTTGCTTGACACCACCCTTCAGGCCTGGACGACTTGTTCTGATACCATGTTGAGCAAGAGCAAGAGAAGAGAAGAGAAGAGAGGAGAGAAGAGAGGGAGAGAGGAGAGGAGAGTCGAGAGGACTGAAAGCTTCTACAGAACACTGTACGCGAGTGCATAAGTTATTATTTATACTAGTCTAGTCGTACAACATAAAGAAGGAGAAAATTACAACAGTACCCTTGTGGTACTAAACCTAGGTACAACAACATCTGTCAACAATAACTTCCTTTAGCAATTCCCATAAAAGACCCACATAATGCAGTTTAGTGGAATATAAAGAATAAAAAGATTAAAAACTGCACCACAGATAAAATCAAAGCATATTAAAAGAAGCTAAAGGAATTTATCCAAACCGTGCATACCTCTAGACAGGATCTTATCCAGTGGCTAGAAACAATGGTAGACTCAGAACTATCATCATGCCTCTGCATCAAACCATGACATTCAATGGAAAAATGCACTTTTTTCTTAACCTGGTCATCAACTATTACTCCTCCCCCTTGGTTAATCCATTCAATGATTTCAGCTCTCTGTCCAAAAAGAAAAAGAAAAGAACACATAAAAACTGGCTCACCAAATAAGACAAAGGAAGTAGTAGCCATAAGAAAAATGGCATCATAAAAATAATGACAAAAAAGGGATGAAAATGTCTAGAACATTGCTACAGAAGTTTGCTTAAAATTGGCATGCTCCAAATTCTAATTACCAGTTGATGATGACATGAAGATGACTCAAGGTCAAGAGAGCAGATAACATAGCTTCTATACAGTTGAGATTGATCTGTATTGTTTCTAGAGTATTTAGCAATGAAGCATAAGTAATAAAGAGAGATGATGAATCAAGTATCTGTTTAATGAACCTTAATAATGATATGTTATTAAAAACGAAGTCTGAGAAGATAAATATGTCTTACCAATATAATTATTATCAATAAATGTTAATAAGAGAAATATGTTAAACTACTACCCTTCAAAAATTGAAAGTGATCAATGGCTTTTTCTTGGTTGGAAAACCTTGCCTGATACAATTAATAATATTGGTCATATAACCATTGACAAGAAATGTGGCAACAACAAGTTGGAAAATTTTTTTATCCCTTTTGGGATCTTGGTTGTTTCTAGGGCTTATAAGGTGAAGAACAAAGAGATGGAAAAATGATAGAAAAAAGGAGTAATTGAGTATATGTTACATGACCCCAAGTCCCTAATAATCATAAATTGATTTTTTTATAACAACTCAATAGATGATAGTTCCATTACATTTATGACAACTACCAATCAATATATACACCCATTACCTTCCATATATGTGAAGCTACCATAAATAGTTATGATAGGGTGTTCACAATTACAGTAATGATAATATGAACACATAAACATACTATTACATTATATACCACCATGCATAGTATGATAGTAATAAAAATATTATTGTGATATTGTATCTCATTAATTTTATGCCATAGATAATAGTGAATATTCAAGGTTGGACTGGTTCCCACCTTATGTTTAAACTGAGTCCATGAGATTTTTATAGCCTATCTGGTGGTAAATTGAAGAAAAGGGCATGGAGCCTTACCCGATCTTTTGGAAAAGAATTTGAAAAGCAAAATAGTCGACCCTGGAATATAGTTGATGTTCTTCCATTCTTAGCGGCCAATGTGGTAGAATCATGTTGCAATTTCTGTTGACCCTTTCCCTCATCTTTTACAGCATAAATCACACTTTTCTGTTCAGCTTCCTTGACTACTTCCAAAGAAGAGTCATGTTTTAGCTCTGTTTCTAGTGTTATTCCTTTTTCCAACTTCCCGGCTTCAAAGTTCACATCCCCAAATACTTGACCACCAGTTGACATGCTGGAAACATTTTTCCCTTGCTTCAAACCAGAAGTGCCTATAACCGCTACTTTATTAGAGCATATAGAATCTATGCCATCAGGGAACTCAATTAGTAAAGAAATATCAAGGAAAAAAGTTGATAGGCTTCTAGGTCAAAAATTACCAGACTAATTGCAGGTTAAACTGATATAAAAAGGTGCTTAAACCAGTGTTTTAAAAGTGCAAGGCGCAAAAAAGGCACAAGGGCCAATTTGCGCCTGAGGCGCGCGCCTTTTTAAGAAAGGCGCAAAATTACAAAAAAAAAAGCTAAAAAATCCAAAAAAAAATTCAAAAAAAATGCCAAAAAAATTTTAAATATGCAAAAAATTCAAAAAACATTAAACGTAATGTTAATAAAAATATAAACTTAAAATTTAAAATAAATGTTTTAAAAAACCTATTATCTAAAATTAAAATACATAAACATAACACGTAAAGCGTATTCAAATGAAAATTTAAAAATAAAAGCAAACATATAAAGCATTTTCAAGCATGTAAAACCCACAATCTCTTTTTCTCCTTAATTGCATTGCTTCAAGTAGCTAATGTGATGTAAAAC